GGGACAAAGATTTTAATCGTTCTAATCCTTTTCGAAACTCTGCTGAAATATTAGTTTTCTTACCCCAGTGTATGCTTGTTCTAATACGTACAAATTTCTGCTCATAATAATTGTGCTGATATTTTGGTTTTATGACCCAATGTATGCTTGTTCTAAGATGGAAGCATTTTGAAGTCAGTCTAATATTATCGCTACAACTCTCAATAAATACAAATTTCTATAACAAAAAGATCGCTCGGGTATGTCTAAGGTCAATATGTTTCCTCATGTGTTCTCCAACTGAAAAGTTTACATGTTATTGACTTGCAAAAAGGCCTAGTCATTTTTTTCTTGTTTTTTGTCATGTGCCAACGGGGTTTATAAGCTGTTGCCTTTAATGATATGAACAGGTTACATAGCTTTCCGAAAGAAATGAGAAGATACGATGAGATAAATAAATATTTTGCAGGAAAGTAGTTCTGTATATTGATGTTTCCTAATGTTTAATCACATAATCTGGTTCTCAACTAACATGATAGTTCTTTGTTTTCCTACCTAATGGAATCTGAAACTTGTTCTAGTTTATATTTTCTGCTGATGGTTTGGATTTTTCGACTCAAGTGCTTGATGTAAAACAAAAGCATTTGAAATTCCTTGTAAAGATATATATCTATCGATACAAGTTTCTCTGTTTCTAATAATCGATAGAATTAGAAGGTATGCTTTGACGAGGATTTAGTTGTTAAATATAGGTCCATACAAGTGACCTAAGGGCATCGAGCATTCGGACTCGGTTATAGAGGCAGAGTTGACAACATTCCTCCTGTTTTAAGCTAAATGATTCTACAAACTAAAAAAGACGAAAAACCATCTGATATGAATTGATCGGAAAATGTGATTGTCAATTGTTTCTGCTCTGATTAATGTTCAAGTATAAAATGTGGATGTGCAGTTACTTCATTCATATTGGAAACAGATGGTGAGCTAATGAGGGAGGAGTTTTTCAATAAGAAAATACATAGTTAAGGGGTTGTTATAATTATCCCAATTAAAATGATTTTTACCACTTTTGACCACTCGTAAATAATTAAAAATAGTTCAGTTAAAAAAAATTACTATGTTTTTAATAATCAAGAAAATTCACAAAAAATCATAAACTATTATACAACACGGTTTTTTGCTAAAAATCCCTGAAATTGTCAAATTTTTATTTAAATTAACACTAAAATATACATATAAAATTGTCGTTTTTTTGCTGAAATTGCTTAAATGTTAAAAAAAAAATATTACTTTTGCCTCACATCACATATATAGAAGATTTATATTTATAAGTAGTAAATAAATTGTTGACCTATGATTTTTTTTTCACTAAACTTTAAACAGTCAAGCAAAATAACAATAAAATGTGTGCTATAATAGTACACGTTTTTTGCTAAAAATTAAATGCTCTTATACTTTGTTAATATTTTTTAGCACTCTAATATATACTATACTATATTCTATGTTGATCTATAAGTAGTTAAGAAATAGTTCATCTAAAAATTATTTCCATAATTTTGAATAGTCAAACAAAAATAATTTGCGTATCGAATTTTTGGTTTACCGAAATTTCAGTCCGGTTTCACCGAGCGGACACAGTCCGACAGTCGCATTGTGTACTATAAACTCATCCTCATGAAATACTTAATGAAATGTTTTTTACGGTTTATAACAAAAAAACACTTTATCTCTCTAAAACCCCAAAACTTCCCAAAAAAATACAAAAACCCCCCAAATTTCAAGGGGATTTATGTAATTATTGGAAAATTGGGGGTTCGGTTTGTAAATAGACCTTACTTCAGGGAACAGTTGTAATTTACGCTAATAAGAATAATAATAGGTTGTTTTGGTGTAGTGGGCCAGACAAAGGTACACGTTTCGACCGCTCAGCCCTCGTGTGGCAACGCATCCCAATACCAATTAATAATTAATTAATTTTATATATTATTATTATTATTAGTAGTATTATTTCACCACACGCAACCAACCAATGACGGCACCCTTGTCCATCAAATCTCAGTCGAAACCCCTTTGACATTGTTTCCTTTTTTCCACCCATCTTTTTTGTCCTTTTCTATTTTGGCCCTCTCTCTCTCTCTTTTATTACCACCTTTTTCCTTTGTCCCATTATTTCAAGTAAAAGAAAAGTACAATAAGTTTATGGGATGGTCTAGCAGTCGGAGCAAGTGAGCTAGTTCGTGTCAAATAATCCAAGTTCGAATCCTGCAGTTAATGGTTGTTCGGTGGAGTTTGTCACACATGATTAGTCTGCGATATATGTTTTACGGCTCTTATATAATTTGTAAGCTATTATTCGAGAATATAGCATTAATCAGTGCACCTATATAGTTGATTGAGAATTCTTCTCTTATCATAAAAAAAAAAAATCAAAGTACGACAAGATAAGTTATATAAATTAATGTTAATGGAAATAAGATATATAATATGTTGGTAGGTAGAAAGAATATGCTATAATTTGTTTTATAATCTATATTGTAATTGGCTACCCTATCTTCTAAATTATTTTAATGAATTTGTTATATATACTTAATAGTACTACATAGTAAATAAAAATGAATGTACCTACATAGTAAGACATACAAGT